AAAACTTGAAAGATTTAAAAAAAAAACCCAAGCTACCCAACACCACTGTTTTATTTAGGATAAATACAAGAGTGTGAGGTGCGTAAACATCTGAATCAGTGGTTACATAGTGATTTCTCTTCCCAGAATTGTACTAATAAAATTGATGACACAGCCATGAAGACAAGGAAGTAAACAAAACTAGTGCTAGTTCCAAGTTCCTTTAAAAACACGTGATCAAAAAATCCTGCCTGGAAAAGAATACTCTGGTAGATGAGTCCTAGAGGATTTAATAGAATTAAAACAATCGGGTTCTATCAAATCTTGTAATAGAATTTTTAAAGTAACCTATGGTATTCTGAAGCAGGAATCTCATTCTCTATTAAGTTCTGTTGTGGGGATTTTGCATAATGGTAAATTAAAGAAGGGAGAACTTTATTAACACTAGTAGTCTGTTGTCAAAATTCTTTAAGCAGGTAGTTGTAGATTAGTCTAATCATACATCAGGTCTAATGCACTAAAAGTCTTCTAAATAAATACATTTTCTAGCCCACACCAGAAATGTTTGGAATGGCTCTAAGGTTCATAAATATATCAATATATTTTTATAAGAATCTGAAATTAGTGAGTGAGATTTTACCCCATACTACCTAGGCATTCCAGGGCAAGCTAGGGTCAAGGGCAAGTTTTAACTCTTGGTTTCCTTGCCTTTTGTAGATTTAAGACTGACTCCAAACAGCTGTTTCTGTGTTAATATATAAGGTACTTAGAGTGTTTCATTATAAGGTACTGAATGTAATTGCTCTGTGTGCTGCATAATTTATATTCCCAACTGCACTTGCATACAAGCGAGCGGAGGATATAATAATGTTGAAAATCATTGCAGCTCATAGCTTCTCCAATGCAAGTGAAAGCCTGTAATCTTAGGTGTTTGCATTTAATGAGTATGTTTGTGATTGATTGTTATAAAGAGATCCTTGCATAGAGCCAGGGGCTGCTCCAGGCACCAGCACAGCAAGCGCGTGCCTGGGGTGACAAGCCGCGGGGGGCGGCCTGCTGGTCGGTGTAAGGGCAGCAGTCAGGAAGCCTTCGGCGGCGTGCCTGCAGGAGCTCCGCTGGTCCCGCGGTTTCGGTGGCAATTTGGCGGCGGGTACGCCGAAGCTGCGGGACTGGCAGATCACCCGCAGAAACGCCGCCAAATTTGCGTGACCGCAGACTGCCTGCAGGCGTGTCGCCGTAGGCCGCCTGACTGCCGTGCTTGGGGCGGCAAAAAACATACAGCCGCCCCTGCATAGAGGGTAGTCCATAAGCTCATAGTAGAAACTATGGAACTACCTGCAAGCTTGGGGTATAGTACCCTGAACAAGGTTAGACCTGATATTGAACAAATACACTTGGGCAAGGATCCTACCAATTTGTGCTCAGTGGGGTGCTCAAAATTATAGCGTGCCAGCACAGGGGGGAGTGGATGCTGCTCATGGGTATAAGTGAAGTGAAGTGCTGGGCATTGTCTTTTATTCTGTGCAGTATGAAATCTTGCATCCCTGCTCTTGCAAGTACACTGTATGAAAAGGGGGCAGGGCACGAGCAGAGAGTGCGAGTTTCTGAAGAGATACAGGATTAAGCTTGATCCTCCTCTTATTAATGAGACCATAGCTTTGAACTCCTCTGTAAGCCTCACTCTTGCTATTAAGCATGAGTAATTTTTTTGTCTTCACAGAAGTGCTCTCATTAATGCAGGATCAGGTTCCCCCTGCACATTCTATTAGAGCTGACTGGACCGGAGGACGACAATTCTGTTTCACCGCAACTTTCAAGTTTTGTACCACTTTGGAACAAAACCTTTCGAATGTTTCTGCAAAAGCGGAATCATGTTGAAATGTCCATTTGCAGATTGAAACTTGAGCTTTTGGAAATGTGTGTCTGAGTCTGCCTGTCTCTTGGCGTTTAGGGCACCGTCTGGGATGTGTGAGACCCACCCTGCCTGATTCAGAGTAGAGTTTTTAATCCCAGATGAATCTGAATCAGGCAGAGCAGTGACTTGAATCCAGGTCTCACACATCCCAGGCCAGTGCTCTAACCAGGAGGCTATAGAATGTTAAAGTATCTCTCCTCTGCTCCCCCACCTCCCCAAAAAAACCCACCCACCATTCCCATTGAAAACTTCGTTTAAACCAGTACATCTCCGCAAAATGTTTTGGCTTTCATGATACAGCATATTTTGGCAAAACTTAGTTTTGCCAAAAATGTTCCAACCCACTCTGCTTTCTATACAAGTCACCATTTTTTATACCTCTTGTGCTTGGACGGAACACCAAGCCTTTGATGTTAACTACAGATCCAAGCCTCAGATTGCTTAATATTTTGTATCCCTATAATGGGGTTCATTTGTCACTATCCCAGCACATATACAACAGCACCTTTTCTAAACATTCATTCTATTTTCCCCCCGGCCATAAATCAGTATCAATATTTTGTGAATTCCAGTGGGGATGCAATTATGTAACAAAAGGTAGCTGCTAATATTGGGAAGTGAATTTCATCCTGTACTTTCCACATGATAGCATTGTCTCACCAGGTCTCCACGTAACAGCAATGTGTTGCTGATAATGGAAAGATAAATAAATATTCCTGAAAGCACCATCACCTTGGAGAAGCCCCTGAGATGGCCTATTTAATAGTTTAAAAAATAACTTTGTTTAGGCATTGCCTGTTTGTATAAAAGTTCAGCATTTTCACCAGTAAACTTAACTCTAGCTGAACTGAGAGATGCCAGTAAACAAATTAAACCCACTATGAGTAGAATAGACTGACCACTTCCTCTTTCTAATTGTGGCTGAATTCCCTGCAGCCTAATATGGAGGTATATCTGAATCTGGTGAAATGATACCTATTCAGAACTGTAATTTAAACAGAGGCGGTGCTGGTACTAGCTAGAAGAGCTGTGTGAATCCTGGTCCTTTTGGTTGGCAAGGGTTTATGCCAGCATTTTATCTGGCTTTATCCTGCTCTTTCTTCCCCCCTCCTGCCCCAAGTTCAGCTTTGAGTTTTGGTTTCAAAAAATCTGAGTGAAACAACTTGAAATATGAGAGATTTGTATCCAAACTAAACAATTTTGCACAAATTCTGTGTGGAGCCTTAAATCTGGCCAGGCTTTTGAAATTCAGGGACCCTTTTGATTAACCTGTCTGAATTTGAAGTTTATAATGAAACCTAAATTCAGGCAAGGTTCACTTGGTTTCAGATTTTGTTGTTAATATGTTTCATGGCTCTACCTACCAACCAACGTTTTGTGCACAAGGTTAATATATGCTCATACATGTGCTTGCTGCTTTCTCTGCTTAATGTAAACAGTGCAAATTTCCATCAAGCCAAATAATAAGTAATAAGTGTTTCCATTTAAATCCACTAAATTATCCTTGATTAAAAGCAACACACTTTTGTCACAGCACATTTTTTTAGTCTGCTTTTCAGATCCAGTTGAAGCATATATATATGCTTAGCCATGCAAAAAACATAATAGGTTTACAAAGCAGGATAGGAAGGTAAGGGGATAGCCTTGGACTATGCAGTTAATCTGAACAGGACATGTACATGAACCACTGATGTTTACTCAAACTTTTTTAATAGAGAAACATGGAAGGAGGATGGTCTTGTGGTTAAGCCAATGGGGGGACTCAAAAGATCCAAGTTCAATTCTTGGCTATATCACAGACTTCCTGTATAACCCTGGTCAAATCACGTAAATTTCCTATGCCTCAGTATATATATACACACATACTCACACACCACTGATTTCTTTGTCCAGAATAAGTTATTAGAACCAAAAAGAACTGGTCAGAGAGTCACATGAATAACCCCTCCATCTTGTGCAATCTTCCTGCCTCCGACATGGTCTTTCACTTTGTCCAGTTATGAGAACCTCTCATAAAGAGAAACGAAAAGGAACAGCTATCAGCTGTGTACCCAAAGTGGCAGCTCTGTGGTCTAACAATGCGTCTTGGGGGAGCTAACTGAGGAATGGAGTCAGTGATAATGACCTCATGCAGGTTAAAACAAGGAATTCCCCTGCACTTTCCTGTTAAGGAAATGTCTCATTTCACAAGGCTCCCATCACGTAAATGAGACTGAAACATGTAGGACATTATACTCTGTATTAGTGAGCTGATCTCCAAGTGTTTCCTTTTTATGGGATGGGAGAAAATATTAAAATTGGGACTGGAATGATGACCTCTACATCTAGCAGCTGTTGTCAGGAAAAGTCTGCTTGCAACTGCAAACAATTGCCTGCTGTTTAAAAGTTTGATGTAGTGAATTAGACCATTGTCCTGCTAAGTATTAGGGAAACTTTCTCCTTTGTTTAAACTGACATTAAGAAACTGGCATAGTTTCAAGTAACACTGAGAGTCAGATTTTCAAGCCGAGTGCGATAATGTGTGTGGACCAGCATCTTACACACACAAACCTGCACTTGTACATGCAAACTGGACACTTGTGTCTAACTCTCCAGTTACAAAGGCTGGTGTACTCTTTGAGCCTTCTGAAAATTACATCCGACCGGTCTGACTCAAATGTGTGCAGTAGGTATTACCTACCCCTCCAGAGCATCAGACGGCATTCTATATTTTGTGTACTTCCGTGCCTGAACTTCACTTAGCAAATGAAGGGCAGTTTGGACTCACTTTAAATTTTCTGGTTTTTGATGACTTGAGTGCTCAGACCTTGATGATTTAAAAAAATTCTTTGATGCTTGTATCTAGGATCCTCCCTTCCATTCAGACAGGTTACTTTGTTTTGCATGGTCTGAAGCACTGCATTAAAGTATGGTGAATGCACGTCATGCAATTTATTAACCCAGTCCTGAAAATTTTTACTATAGCAGTAAGAATAAGGGTTATTCACCAAAAGATTTACAGGTTCAGACCCTGTCCATGCAAGCTAATTCTGGGAGCTTCATGGTATTGCCCATGGGATTGGTGAAAGCTTTAATTGTAATTGCTGTTATAACTTTGTCCTTACAGTGGCCAGTTTGCGATAGTGAAGAAATGCCGAGAGAAAAGCACTGGAGTGGAATATGCTGCTAAATTCATTAAGAAGCGTCAGAGCCGGGCCAGCCGCCGGGGGGTGAGACGTGAGGAAATCGAGCGGGAAGTGAACATTCTGCAGCAGATCTTGCATGCCAACATCATCAAGCTGCATGACGTCTACGAGAACAGGACAGATGTGGTTCTTATCCTCGAGCTGTGAGTAGAGGGATTTCCTATTCTCCGCTATAGGATGAGGCAAATGGGATCAGGAAACGGCTGTGGAGGCTTCCTGAGCACAGGCGTGTTCTTAAAATGGAACTGCTGGGCCATCGGGCTAGAGAAACCATCAGCAGACCTAGACAGGAAAATAGAATGAGGTCACCAGTAAACAGCCTCCCCTTAATAAATCAGCACACACTCTAGAGACAAATGTGCCTGATAGTCATCTGAGGTCATTGCTGCCGAACCAGGGAGTCCTGTTGGTTTGTGAACACAGAGATTGTCTAACGTTTGCTCTCTGCTGGCCTAACATGTACATTTAGAGGAAGTACAAGTATCTCTAATAGGGCCCAGTTTCTTCAGTTCCTCTCCTGCTCTGCCCACCCCAAGAAACATCCAATGCTCATCCATCCCTCAAACGCTCTGCATCTTCTTGAGGCTCCTGCCTCTTTCACTAGGCCCATATTTTTCTTACTTTACAAAAGAAAACTTTAGTTTAGAGCTGCTCCCTAGCTCTGCCTTTGCTCTTTTCACTCATGCAGTTGAGAATGAATCATAGAATATCAGGGTTGGAAGGGACCTCAGGAGATCATCTAGTCCAGCCCTCTGCTCAAAGCAGGACCAATCCCCCAGGCGGCAGCTTTTTACCCCAGTTGCCTAAATGTCCCCTTCAAGGATTGAACTCACAACCCTGGGTTTAGCAGGCCAATGCTCAAACCACTGATCTATCCTTGCCCCCTCCCAATGGGTGAGCCGGTGATGGGAATCTGATTATAGACAAATGTGTCTGCTTCTCCCTTGGTTGGAGAGTTGGGAGCGGGGAAGGAGGGAGGAAGTTATTTGTGGGTATGGTGGGAGTTGAAGCATGAAGGAAGGCTCATGTTCCAAACCTGTCAGAACTGTTAGGGAGCCAGGCAGAAGTTTGGACCAGTTTGTAATGTTCTCCAAACCTGTTAGCCCATCCCTTATTGAGGTGTTACACAGTAGTAATAGAATCCCACCCTGTCAGCAGTGCACACTTGGTACTGTGTTTGTAGCCCATTGCTGACTGGTTTGATTAGGTTGAGCCTGTTGTAGTGCCCCAGGTAGCACTGTGCACTGTCTCACTTGCCTTATCTGGCTTTTTTTAATTAGATGGCTCCTTCAAAGATTTCTTAAAGCAGAATTGTCTAATAAACAAATAATCTCAAAGGTTATAAGGAACCCAATGGATCAGGGTAAAGCAAGGATCTGTTGTATTAATTTAGATGGAATAAAGGGGCCCAAATAGTCAAAAATGTTAACATGATCCTGGTATTCTCCAACATTAAACAGTTTTAAATAAAATTCAGGGTTTGGTACACAGAGACCTCAGCCTGCTTAGTACCATGGCAAAAACATTATTAGAAAAGCTTTTTAATCTTTTATTAAAGATACAGAAAAGAAAGAAAAAGCATTTGAAATGTAAAGCATTAAAGCAGTGGTTCTTAACCTGGGATGCACGCACCCCCTGGGGGTGCGAGATGCTCTTTCTGGGGGTGCAAGACATACCAGATTTTTTTAGAAGGTAAATCATCGGAAACACAAATTAAGCACAGGCACGTAAGTACAACTGCTTTGTTTCATCAAACATATGTATTTATTCACATTATACATATTTTAACAATTACTGTAATATACAAGCAAAAAATATATCTAGGTTTAAAGAACAGACCTACTTCAACAATTTTCTATAAGAGGTGCGAGAACATATTTTGAGAACCAAAGGGGTGCAGGCTGCAGTAAAGGTTAAGAACCACTGCGTTAAAGAATGATTTCATTTAACACCATCCCATGTTCCTTTTTCCGTTAGCTGTAGAGTCTTTAGAGGGGAAAAACCCTTGTCTGACAGTGGTGTTTAAGATGGTGGTAACTGTCCTTTTGTGAGGAAAAAAGAAGGTAATTGAGATGGGCTGGAGCTGTTGCTGCTGCTGTTAAAGTCCAGTCCAGTTTCCTAGAAGGCAAAATAAGACAAACACACACAAAAGGGGAGAAAAAAAGAACAACAAAGACAGAAAATGCAGCTTCTGTCTCTGATGTTAACTCTCACTTGCAAGCTTGGTGCTGGAGAAACACAAACACAAACCCGGTCTTATTGTGCACTTCGAGACCTGGCAAACTTGTACCGGTATTGGACTGTTTAGGACATTAGTTCTAGCTGCCTTTTTGGTCACGGGCTTGCAGTATTGTTGCAAAATATGCAGTCTTGGCCAGCTAAGCTAGACTCGTAATAAGAAGGAGAAGGATAGGAAAGAAGAAATAAATTGGGGAAGGAAAAGACCCCATTGGGGGGAGAGTCAGGGATGGGGAACTAAAGGGTATTGCAAAAATAGCCCATTGGCTACTGCCTGTAGCAAAAATCCCCAACGGCTGGAGACAGGACACTAGATGGGCGGGCTTTGAGTTACTACAGAGAATTCTTTCCCAGGTCTCTGGCTGGTGGGTCCTGCCCACATACTCAGAGTCTAACTGATCGCCATATTCAGGGCCGGCTTTAGGAAGTGCGGGGCCCGATTCGAACAGTTTCGACGGGGCCCGGATAGGGATGACTAAAAGAAAAAAACCCACGTAAAAAAAACACGTGGGGCTTGTACTCACCGGGCCACGCTCCTAGTCTTTGGCGGCGGGTCCTTCACTCGCTCCGGGTCTTTGGCGGCACTTTGGCGGCGGGGCCTTCACTCGCTCCGGGT